ATGGGAGGAACGGCTTCATTACACACAGCAGCCCAGCCGGTTAGACTGCTGGAACAGGAGGAGGCTGGGAGGACACGGCAGACAGCCCTGCACTTACACCATCTCTACTAGGCGCAGATCCATCAAGACTTTGCATAGATGAATAGGGCTCATGCAGATTCTGATTGACTAATCTTTTGGGTGGACGTTGATAAAGTCAAAGCTGCCCAATCAGCTTCCAGAAAAACGTATTGGGTCTGAAACCTGCCCAGACACAGCAAAACCATTACACAAGAGGAGATGTTTAATCAGTCAGGAAGAGACCGTCACCCGACATCTGCCCAATTCAGAGTCAACTGAGCGCGTCCATCCGGTTTCTAGACAGAATGAAAGCCAAAAATATGCCCATTGAAGAGACCTAAACCTTCCATAATCTATAAATAGAACGTAGAGATTTCATGTATAGCTGAATGTATAGGTATGGCTCAAGATGGATGATTCTAGAGCGTCAGTCTATGGTATGTGTTACCTGGGCAACCAAAGGCAGGGTTGGGAATGTGCAGCCATGTACTCCGATCCCTGGTATATCCAGTAACACTCCCTCGGGGAACGCTGAAACTTCATTCCCAAGCATCCATATACACATCTCAGGCCCCATGCACACTGTGCGATCAGCCCTGAGACTCCAGTGTTCAGGTGTGGGCTGAAGGCATGGGCCCGCCATCCAGCCATGCCCGCCATCCAGCCATGCCCGCCATCCAGCCATGCCCGCCATCCAGCCATGCCCGCCATCCAGCCATGCCCGCCATCCAGCCATGCCCACCTCTGCTGCTGAACGATGCACCGCACAACTTCCCGGGCAGTATATTGAAGATGTGCTAAAACTGAAGACTGCAAAATCTGGTGCAGCTGTGCATGGCAGCCAATCAGCTAATAACTTCAGATTGTTCAATGAAGTTTTGATAACAAAACCTGGAAGCGGATTGGCTACCATGCGGGGCTGCACCAGATTCTGCACTCTCCAGTTTTAGTAAATCAACCCCCCAACGTATCCAAAGATGAACGCCTGGAACAAACCGTCTACGCTCCAGACATTCAACCCTGACCCAAATGACCCAGGCAGCTGAACTACGACTGGACACATGCTGGCAAACTGTGTACAGATAGCTGCCCATATCAGATCACATGACAACCACCACTGACGCACCTCATCATCCCCCCCCCGCCACAGACACTTCCCCCAAGGACCATGGAACAGCCTCCCTCAACACTTTCCCCAATTACCTCGGAACCCCCACCCCGACATTTCCTCTACTGGCCCCACAACTCTGCCCCCTGTCACTTCCCACAAACAAACCCAACCCCCCCCACAACTCTGGAGCCCAACACTTTCAACAACCCCTCCCACCAACCTCGGAACCTTCCCCCGACACTTCTCCCACCAGCCCCGGAACCTCCCCCGACATTTCTCCCACCAGCCCCGGAACCTCCCCCGACACTTCTCCCACCAGCCCCCGGAACCTCCCCCGACACTTCTCCCACCAGCCCCGGAACCTCCCCCCGACACTTTTCCCAACAACCCCGAACTCCACTTCCAACAACCCCTCCCACCAACCTCAGAACCTCCTCCGACACTTGTCCCAACAACTCCGGAACCCCATTACTGCCAATAACCCTGGAAGGCCCCCCCCCCCCCCCCCCACACAAACCCAGAACCCCCCCAGACACTTCTCCCAACAACCCTGGAACCCCATCCCCCCTCAACGCTTCCCCCAACCCCCCAGAACCACCCCCCAAAAAACATCCACCAACAACCCTAGAACCCCCACCTCCCCCCCCAATAGCCCCCGACACTTCCCCAATGACCCCAGATCCCCCCCGACCCTTCTCCTAAGACCCCAGATACCCCCCCCCCCGACCCTTCTCCTAAGACCCCAGATCCCCCCCGACCCTTCTCCTAAGACCCCAGATCCCCCCCCGACCCTTCTCCTAAGACCCCAGATACCCCCCGACCCTTCTCCTAAGACCCCCAGATACCCCCCGACCCTTCTCCTAAGACCCCAGATACCCCCCGACCCTTCTCCTAAGACCCCAGATACCCCCCGCGACCCTTCTCCTAAGACCCCAGATACCCCCCGACACTTCTCCTAAGACCCTAGATCCCCCCCCGACACTTCTCCTAAGACCCTAGATCCCCCCCCGACACTTCTCCTAAGACCCTAGATCCCCCCCCGACACTTCTCTCAAGACCCTAGATCCCCCCGACACTTCTCTCAAGACCCTAGATCCCCCCGACACTTCTCTCAAGACCCTAGATCCCCCCGACACTTCTCCTAAGACCCTAGATCCCCCCGACACTTCTCCTAAGACCCTAGATCCCCCCGACACTTCTCCTAAGACCCTAGATCCCCCCCCCGACACTTCTCCTAAGACCCTAGATCCCCCCCCCCCCCGACACTTCTCCTAAGACCCTAGATCCCCCCCCGACACTTGCCCAAGGACCCTAGATCCCCCCCCCCCCCCCCCGACACTTGCCCAAGGACCCTAGATCCCCCCCTCCCCGACACTTGCCCAAGGACCCTAGATCCCCCCTCCCCCAGACACTTCCCCAAGGATCCTAGACCCCCCCCTCCCCCAGACACTTCCCCAAGGATCCTAGATCCCCCCCCTCCCCCAGACACTTCCCCAAGGATCCTAGATCCCCCCCTCCCCAGACACTTCCCCAAGGATCCTAGATCCCCCCCTCCCCCAGACACTTCCCCAAGGATCCTAGATCCCCCCCTCCCCCAGACACTTCCCCAAGGATCCTAATCCCCCCCCCCCCCCCCCCCCCAGACACTTCCCCAAGGATCCTAGACCCCCCCCCCCCAGACACTTCCCCAAGGATCCTAGACCCCCCCCCCCCCCCCCCCCCCAGACACTTCCCCAAGGATCCTAGACCCCCCCCCAGACACTTCCCCAAAGATCCTAGACACCCCCCCCCCAGACACTTCCCCAAGGATCCTAGATCCCCCTGCCCCTTCCCCAATGACCTATCAGACTGAGGATTATAATACGGAATAAAGCCGGGCTAATGACTGAACACAAGGCTCTAATTACCACCATCCTCTCCGGGTCCTGGGAGACAGGAAATGTCAGGTTACACTTATGGCACATCCTGTCATTACAGAAGTGTGCACACAGGGACTCGGCAGCCATGATGGATCTACAGTGGGTTATAGAAGGAGGGGGGACTACATGTCCCAGCATGAGCTTCTAAACCCCACAGCTGTAATAGCAGCACAATGGCAGATCACAGAACAGACTGTATCCCCCCCGGGGGGGGTAAACACACTCAGATCTCACTCTGTGATCTGACACTTTGCGCTGTGAGGTTCAGTAGCTCATGCTGGGATTTGTAGTTCTTTCCTGGACCCATGGAAGCATTGTCTGTATCCACTGGGATGCAGTCCTGCTCAAGCAGCACTTTCATGGGTCCATAAAAACTAAGTCTCAGCATGACCTCATCAGGTTTACTAGGTCTATCTGGAGAAATCAGCACCGATTGCTAGATTACTTGATCAGCCAGAGAGGAAGCAGCTGCACTACAAGCCCCAGCATGCACAGATATGACAGCCAGGCATTCTGGGGCAATTTGTAGTTCACCTGCAATACATTTTCAGATTACAGCTATCATTTCAGCAGACAGGGATTATGGAGCTGCACTACAAATCCCAGCATGCACAGGTACATCAGGCATTCTGGGACTTGTAGTTCATCTGCAGCTACATACCGCGGACGATTTTCAGATTACCTCCCAGCAGAGATCATGCTGCTGCACTACAAGTCCCAGCATGCACAGGTACACCAAGCATTCTGGGACTTGTAGTAATTCATCTGCAGCTACATAACTAGGAAGATTTTCAGTTTTACCTCCCAACAGGGATCACGCTGCTGCACTACAAATCCCAGCATGCACACGTATATCAGGCATTCTGGGACTTTTAGTTCATCTGCAGCTACATAACCCAGGGAAGACTTTCAGTTTACCTCCCACCAGGGATCAAACTGCTGCACTACAAGTCCCAGTATGCTTAGGTACAACAGGCATTCTGGGATTTGTAGTTCATCTGCACCTACATAACACAGGATTACCTCCTAAACGGGACCGTACGGCAGCACTACAAATCCCAGCATGCACACGTACATTAGGCATTCTGGGACTCGTAGTTCATCTGCAGCTACATAACCCAGGGAAGACTTTCAGTTTACCTCCCAACAGGGATCAAACTGCTGCACTACAAGTCCCAGCATGCAGACATGGCAGGTTTTCTGGCACTTGTAATTCATCTGCAGTTACATAACACAGAACTGATTACCTCCTAAATGGGACCATGCAGCAGCACTACAAGTCCCAGCATGCACAGGCATGGCAGGCTTTCTGCAATTTAGTTAATCCAGAGCCACATAGCTCAGCAGATTTTCAGATTACACACCCAGCTATCACTCGAGAAGACAGGGATCACAAGTCCCAGCATGCACAGAGAGGGGAGGCCTCTGGGACTTGTAGTTCCCCAGCAGATTGTCTGATTACCATCTAACAGGGATCACACAGCTGCACCACAAGCCCCAGCATGCACAGACATTCTGGGACTCGCAGTTTCCCAGCAACCAATAAACATTCCCAGCTATCAGTCCAGCAGACAGGAATAATGGAGCTGCACTACAAGTTCCAGCATGCACAGTTGACAGGCTTCCTGGGACTTGTAGTTCATCTGCATAACCCAGGCCAGATTTTTACATTACCTCCCATCAGGGATTATGTGAGTGTACTACAAGTCCCAGCATGCACAGGCTTAGCAGGTTTGCTGCGACTTGTAGTCCTAGAGCTACAAAGCTCAGCAGATTTTCAGATTACACGCCCAGCTATCAGGGGGGCTCCAGTTATAAGGCCAAAGCAGCTGATCATCTATGAGGGATGTACTAGTCTAGCCTGTCCCCAGTGGCCCCCCGTCCCCAGTAGGGCGCACAGCCCCGCATACCTCCATCCGCGAATTCCTCTTTGAAGAAAACGGAGGGTTCAGCGAGGCACAGAGCCGCCAGCAGCGGCAGGACGAGGAGAACGATGCGGGCCATGACTGGTCGCCCCCTGAGATTCCAATCAACAGAAGCGCTTGAGATCCACTGAGCACCTAGCGCCGGCCGACCGCCGCTCTTATATGCCTTCCCCACACCCTCCTCCCAAAGACGCTCCCATTGGCCGCCCCTACACCGGTGTCCGCTCACCATTGGAAGCCCTCTTCTGCCATTCAGGGCACACAGATGGCTGCACGCGATTGGGCCAAGCCGCGGCCAATGAGGAAACACCACGCAGGGGCCTCCTACTAGTCGTCAAGCGGTTGGCTGTGGGACGAAGCTTGCGGATAGGTCACATGGTGCGGGGCAAGTCGGAGCTGTGGCACGTGATTTCTTCCGGCTGTGGGTGTGGCCTGCGTATCCATAGCTATGGATGTGTATTGGTGGCCATTGGAGTGATCTATGAGGGGGGCTATCAGTGTGTCCTGTAATGGCCGCCACATACAGCAGTGTGAGCTCAGTCCGAGCAGTTATAAACCTACCAAATCAGCTCTGACATGGGAAATAAAGGTGGGCTGTGGGAGTCCCCTCACCTCAGGCTCACTTTACAAAGAGAACACACCATGGCTGACAAAGATGTAGATCAAGTGTGTTTACCTTCAACTCCTCCAAAGGGCCAGCGCCGACTTCTCCTGCATGGAAACATCAGTATTATTTGCTAGAAAGTTACTTACAACCAATCAAACAGTACACGCCTTTTAGCAGAGGCCCTAGAGAATACAATTGTGGGTGTTGCATTTTTTATGTCATGGCATTTTCATGAGCCCTTCTGGAGTATGGAGCTCAGGGCATTTTCATGAGAAACAACCCCCCCCCTAGAGAATGGAGCTCAGGGCATCTTCATGAGAAACAACCCCCCCCTAGAGAATGGAGCTCAGGGCATCTTCATGAGAACCCATCCCCCCTGGAGACAGGAGCTCAGGGCATCTTCATGAGAACCCATCCTACCCTCAGAGAATGGAGCTCAGGGCATCTTCATGAGAACCCATCCCCCCTGGAGAATGGAGCTCAGGGCATCTTCATGAGAACCCATTCCCCTTCTGGAGTATGGAGCTCAGGGCATTTTCATGCGAAACAACCCCCCCTAGAGAATGGAGCTCAGGGCATCTTCATGAGAAACAACCCCCCCCCCCTAGAGAATGGAGCTCAGGGCATCTTCATGAGAACCCATCCCCCCTGGAGAATGGAGCTCAGGGCATCTTCATGAGAACCCATTCCCCCTCTGGAGAATGGAGCTCAGGGCATCTTCATGAGAACCCCCCCCCCCCCCCCCCCCAGAGAATGGAGCTCAGGGCATCTTCATGAGAAACAACCCCCCCCTAGAGAATGGAGCTCAGGGCATCTTCATGAGAAACAACCCCCCCCTAGAGAATGGAGCTCAGGGCATCTTCATGAGAACCCACCCGCCCTCAGAAAATGGAGCTCAGGGCATCTTCATGAGAACCCATCCCCCTGGAGAATGGAGCTCAGGGCATCTTCATAAGAACCCATTCCCCCTCTGGAGAATGGAGCTCAGGGCATCTTCATGAAAACCCCCCCCCCCAGAGAATGGAGCTCAGGGCATCTTCATGAGAACCCCCCCCCCCCCCCCCCCCCCCCCCCCCCCCCCCCCGGAGAATGGTGCTCAGGGTATCTTCATGAAAACCCATCCCCCCCCCCCGGAGGATGGTGCTCAGGGTATCTTCATGAGAACCCCTCCCCCCCGGAGAATGGATCTCAGGGCATCTTCATGAGAACCCATCCCCCCCCCCAGAGGAGAATGGAGGGCATCTTTATGAGACTCCTGGGAGTATGGGGTTCAGAACATCTTCATGAGTCCTCCTGGAGTATGTGGCTCAGGGTATCTCCATGAGCCCCCTTGCAGTATGGGGCTTAGGGCGTATTCATGAGCCTCCTTGGAGTATGGGGCTTGGAACATCTTCATGAGCCCCCCCCCCAATGGAATTCAGGGCATATTCATGAGCCTCCTTGGAGTATGGGACTCAGGCAATCTTTGGGAGCTTCCCTGTAGTATTGGGCTCAGGGTATCTTCATAAAACCTCTTGGCATATGAGACTCCGGGCATTTTCAGGAGCCCTCTTGGAGTATGGGGCTCAGGTCATCTTCATGAACCTCCTTGGAGTATGGGGTTCAGAACATCTTTATGAGCCCTACTGGAGTATGGTGCCCAGGGCATATTCAAGAGCCCCCTTGGAGTATGGGGTTCAGAACATCTTCATAACCCTCTTGGAGTATGTGGCCCAGGACATCTCCATGAGCCCCCTTGCAGTATGGGGCTTAGGGCATCTTCATGAGCCCTTTTGGAGTATGGGGCCCAGGGCATATTTGTGGGCATTTTTGGAGTATGGGGCTCAGAACATCTTTATGAGCCCCCCCCCTACCCAATTGGAGTATGGAGCTCAGGGCATCTTCATGAACCCCTTTGGAGTATGGTGCTCATGTAATCTTTGTGAGCCCCCTTGTAGTATGGGGCTCAGGGCATCTTCATGACCCCCCCCTGGAGTATGTGGTCCAGGGTATTTCCATGAACCCCCTTGGAGTAAGGAGCTCAGGGCACCTTCAGGAGCACTTCTGGAGTATGGGGCACAGGCCATATTTCATGAGCCTCCTTGGAATATGGGGCTCAGAACATCTTCATGAGCCCCCCCACCTTGGAGTATGGAACTCAGGGCATATTCATGAACCCCCTTGGAGTATGTGGTTCAGGCAATCTTTGTGAGCCCCCTTGTAGTATAGGGCTCAGGTCGTCTTCATGGCCTCCCCCCTGCATCTCTATGAGCCACCACCAAACAAATATGGGACCCAGGGCATCTCTTTGACTCGACTTGAAGTACTGGTTTCAGGGCATCTCCATGTGTTCCCCTGGAGTAGCCCATTCTGTCCTTTTATAATCCCCCACTGAGTTCCAGGTGTATCAGTGATTGTGTTTCATTTGACACATGAGCTTCAAAGATCGATCAGGGCTGCCTGGACCAGCTTGCTGTGGCTACCGGCGTCTGAATAAATTGTGTATTCACATTTCGCTCTGTCTCCAGTGCACGCTTGTACTAAAAAATAAAACTTCACATAATCTAGATGTATGTCTGCCTCCGAGCATTTTAAGGTGTGACCAGATTTATTTCTCTGTTCTACTACTACTGTGGATGAATTGTACTGTAATTATATGTATGTGTGTATGTGCATTGTACATGAATTAGGCGTGAGCACTCCTGTCACTAGTCAAGAGCAGATATTTTCAAGAAGGAAATAATATGTGCAAATATGTAGTTTCATCTGTGCTTGCACAGGCACTCAGGTGTCAGATAACAACACACATTGTAGATGGCTCTGGGGTCAGAGTACAAAAGAAGCGACAACTAGCATTTTATTTTTAGAATATACCACATATTAGACAGACAGGGTGGGCAATCTTTTTTTTTACTGCAAGCTCTCCCAAGCAGGGCTCTCCTACAGCTGAACATTCACAGATAGTTTCTTTTTTTCATTCAGCAAAAACCTAACAATTTCCTCCAACCAAACAAATGAGGTGGATTGAGGAATTCCCTGATGGGACATTGTACTCTGCACCCACCACTGTCAGAATACACTGAGCAGTTGCTACAGCTGCTGATCATCCAAAACATTTTCAACATACAATATATTGCCAAAAGTATTGGGCCAGCCCTCCTAATCATTGGATTCAGGTTTTCCAATCACCTCCATGGCCACAGGTGTATAAAATCATCACCTAGGCATGAAGACTGCTTCTACAAACATTTGTGAAAGAATGGGTTGCTCTCAGGAGCTCAGTGACTCCAAGCGTGGTCCCGTGATAGGTTGTCACCTGTGCAATAAGTCCATCCGTGACATTTCCTGGCTACTAAATATTCCACGGTCAACTGTTAGTGGGATTATAACAAAGTGGAAGGAACTGGTAACAACAGCAACTCAGCCACCAAGTGGTAGGCCTAGTAACATGACAGAGCGGGGTCAGCCCATGCTGAAGCTTTCAGTACTCAAAAGTTGCCAACTGTCTGCAGAGTCAATAGCTAAAACCCTCCACCCTTCGTGTGGCCTTCAGATTAGCACAACAACAGTGTGTAGAGAGCTTCATGGAATGGGTTTCCATGGCTGAGCAGCTGCATCCAAGCCTTACATCACCGAGTACAATGCAAAGCGGTGGATGCAGTGGTGTAAAGCACGTCGCCACTGGACTCTAGAGCAGTGGAGACGTGTTCTCTGGAGTGAAGAATCATACATCTCTTGCAATTCGATGGACGTGTCTGGGTTTGGCGATTGCCAGGAGAACGGTACTTGCCTGACTGCATTGTGCTAAGTGTAAAGTTTGGTGGAGGGGGGATTATGGTGTTGGGTTGTATTTCAGGGGTTGGGCTTGGCCCCTAGTTCCAGTGAAGGGAACTCTTAAGGCGTCAGCATACCAAGACATTTTGGACAATTTCATGCTCCCAACGTTGTGGGAAGAGTTTGGGGATGGCCCCTTCCTGTTCCAACATGATTGCACACCAGTGCACAAAGCAAGGTCCATAAAGACATGGATGAGGGAGTTTGGGGTGGAGGAACTTGACTGGCCTGCACAGAGTCCTGACCTCAGCCCGATAGAACACCTTTGGGATGAATTAGAGTGGAGACTGTGAGCCAGGCCTCCTTCCCCGACATCAGTGCCTGACCTCACAAATGCACTTCTGGAAGAATGGTCAAACCTTCCCATAGACACCCTCCTAAACCTTGTGGACGGCCTTCCCAGAAAAGTTGAAGCTGTTATAGCTGCAAAGGGCGGGGCCAACTCAAGATTGAACCCTACGGACTAAGACTGGGATGCCATTAAAGTTCATGTGTGTGTGTAAAGGCAGGCCGACCAATACTTTTGGCAATATAGTGAGTGTTATGACTGTCTTTTTCCAGGTTTGCAGGCGCACACAAGTTTGGCAGCTGATTTCAGCCAATGATTTTAACGTTCATGTGCGTGTAAAGGCAGGTGTTCCAGTATTTTTGGCAATATA